TCATGGTTTTTATTACTAAATGGATGGTAAAACATGGCTTTTATTACTAGTTACCTTACTAAATAACCATTGCAGATAGTAAGAGATAGTGTAGACTCCAGCCTGTAATAAAGTTTGTCAATGCTATCCCAAGTTTTCCTCGGGACTTTGGAATAATCTAGGATTTTTTATAGTAACATAATACCTGTACAAGGAAAACTTCAAATACCTCCTGGCTTTTCGGCCTTGCTTGTCGCAAAAACATATGTTCTGCCTACTCTTATTTATATGCATCGTCAAACTATTTAGCGTTAGTTTAGCTCATTTTTACTTCTATTACGTCCTTAGTAGTTCACTTCAAATATTCCGATAGGAATGGAACTTGGTTCTCAACCAAGTGCTACCTAAAAATTCTCGGCCAAATTTCTTTGGATCATTTTAAATCTATCTTCATATCCAGTATCCATTGTTTGTGAATCCAGCTTTTTGTTACTTTTTGGTATATGGTTCCTGCAGACGTGTGATAGAACCACTATGTGTACCATTTAAGTTTATATAGTTTTCTTTGCTAATTATACTTAAGTCACATCGATGAGAAGTCTTTTCACTTCATAATCAGCATCATCATGTAGCGCTGCACCCCTGGAAGGGTCTAGACTGACTGTACAACTTTTTTTCCAAAAGGCTTGGTCTTCCATAAATCTGTTGTCCAGTAAAAAAATATTCACCTCTTGGAGATCTGTGTGAATGTTGTCTCTCCGCATTTTGGAACATCCAGTTATTCTTCGTCTGTATAAACCTCCTCCTCAAGCAGTTTTATATTTCTAAGTGTATGCCCTACCCATCTTAGTTTCTAAGGTGTAATTTCTTGGACAATATCATCACCGCTTTAAAGTTGTTTTATTTTATGTTTGTTCTCAATTTATATTGGTTTTTGTATAAGTCCAAAAATGATGAGGTCCAAATTTTTTCTTCATTATTTTTGATCATCGTCCATGTTTCGCATTCATATGTTATTAAAGATCTGAGAATAGATTTGTAAATTTTGATTTTTGATGTTATTGTTAAATTTTTTGAAATTATAAGCTTATCCGGTGCATACGGTATCGGTTTGCAGCCTAGATTCTGCTATTTATTTCTTCATCAATAGATATTATCCTTAGCCGTAATTATTGCTCCTAGATATATGTTCATTTCTTTTGGAAGTTATAGATGTTCACAATTGTATTTTGTTCAATTATGTTCCTTTAGCCACTAGTTGCCTGCCACTAGCAACAGACGTACTCTCTTAACTGTTGACTTTCGCTTGCCACAGACGTCCCCTTTCTCGACTGTTGACTGCCGCTAATAACAGACTTTCTCCTTCTGTCTCTCTGATAGTTACGCGGTATTTAAAATACCGCGAATCCTCATTTCAATTGTAGAGATAACAAACGCAAATGTGCTGTATCTCTTGATCTTAGTGTTAGTACCGTGAGACACGTATTTAGAAACCGGTAAACACAGCTTCCCCGTACGAGGAACAACCGCAAGCCCATAAATACCGTGAGTGTGTGTAGCACCAGTATTGGTAAAAGTTTTTATAAAATTGATTTGGCGATTATCTGTATAACTTTTTAATACCTCTTCTAATTATTTTAAACCAGTTCTATTTAATACAGTCCTCATACACCGAAATTATATTAATAATTTCACATATGTTCACCCTTTTTTGTACACTTTATGTTACGAGCCAAAAGGTGTTAGAACTATGGATTATATACAGACTATAAGAACGTTAATAGAAAGACCACCGAATACAATGTTGCCCTTCACTTGGAATTCATCGTTTTCAATAATATGAAAACAGAAACAGTTAAAATAAATAATGATGTACGTCATGGAGACATTATATTTCCAAAGTTACTTATCCTCGTGCTAGAAAATATCAGTGTCTCAAATAATTACAGTGGTTCACTAGAGACATACATTTTTACGGCTCCTATTTGGGATCCTACAGCTTCTGTCGAATCCAGCATTTTAATCTTTACCTTTTTTGATCCTTCAATTTCATTTATGGCTCTATCTCTGATTATTCCGTTAAGATATATTAGCTATTCCGGTTTGTTAATGTTGATGAAGAGTCTCCAATTTTGAATTTTTTGGTTAACTTTCGAATCATATCATTCATCTCTTTCTCATCGTTTGCCTTCATCACATGATCATTTGCAAGGAAAGATTTGTTATATACTTGCTTCCAAGTTCTATTCCCATTCCTGTGCATTTTCTCCTTCAGTTGTTTAATGATAGATAGATAGATAAATACGTTTATTGACAATTTTTATATAGTAAACACTACATATTGTCTCAACATAAATAAGTCACTTATGTATACATAGTTAACAACTAAGAAATAATGCTTCCTAAATACAGATTTTGAATAGAGTTGGAGATAAAGAACACCCTTGCTTCAAACCTTTCGTTACAGAAAATGCATCTAAAATGAATGCAATGATGTATACATGGAAATAATAATATTCCTATAAACCTGAAGAGAAAACTTCACGATGCATGAATTACGATATTAGTAACAGCAACCTATGGTTTAGAAAGGATAACTGTAACAAAAAAGTCAAAATATTAAATTGGTATTAAGATATAGCTTAATCATATAGGTAGTTTGCAGTAAATAGGTGATTTCAGATAGCAAAGGACAGGACAGCTTTAAGAAATATAAAAGAGACCTACATTCAACAGTGGACAGAAAGTGGCTGAAGCAGAAGACCTTTTATCACTAAACTATGGTTTTAATATTCTCATTGTCCAATGAGTATGTCTCAGACAAACGTTTCTTGTTGATCCTGGAATTAAAATTTTCCCGAAGCAGCGCGTCACAAGTAAGTATCTCAGTACGAACTGGAATCTAGCTTATTGCCGAAATCACTTTTATCAGCTTGACCTGCATCTTCAGTAGAAGCATATTCTAAAATGATGGATACGTTTCGAAAGCTGCTGGTGGATCTGATTTTGACATCTGTCACCTTAAGTTTCAAGACTTAAAAATGTTTCTTCATTTTACTTGGTTACATATGGCCTAATTTGTTCCCTGTCTCAATACTGTTACGCCAAAATCTGACAGAACAGGGAGCGGAATTCTTCATCGGTGATACAGAAATAGAAAATACATAATTGAAAAAGACACAATCTAGAGACAGGAAGCAACGCAACGTGGAATATCGTTTTTCTTCTCAATATTTATGGTTTACGATCCCTGGAATATACTAAAGCTGTCTGATTACGGAGGGCGCGTGCTGTTCAGTCGTTTGTTGGTAAATCAACACGGTTAAAAGGAAAGTTGGAAGCTGATGCATAACACGTGCTTACCCTTCCGACACGGCTAGGCCCTGGTAGGGTCAATTTAGTGCTAATTTTACTATGTAGTGATCTAACGAAGATTTCGAGATCGAGGAAACACCCTCGTACACCCCACTCCGTAGGGGCAAATATCAAAAAGTAAATATTTATTAATTTCACAGTAACGTGGAGTGCCAACCGTGTTATATTTTCTTTTTACTATAATTTATTTTCCACTTCTCTTCACCGACGTGAACTGGCGAGGAGCACCTTTCCACGCTCCATGAGACCCCGGATTTAAAGAAATTTCTGTCGAAATATCTAATCCCACCGAGATCTGATAAGTTGAATCGTCTAATGATGCCATTTCTATGATTTTCAGGGCTTTCCTGATATTCAAACATGCCTGTCGTATTAACTGGCTACCATTGGTTTCGATCGCCCTTTTTTTAATATAACTCCGAATTGGTGGTAAGATATATATATGCTTGTATTCATCCAATGATTGTAAACAAGTGACACAGATATATCTTTAATTTCATAAAATTTTACCAAACTATACACCTGTCAACAAAATAATTGTTTTTGTGCATTGGTGTGTTACTTTAAACATTACAGCTGTATAAAGATAAACCTATCTTACGATATTTCCATGATGTAGAGTGAGTTCCTTTTGTAGTGAGCTATTCCTGTCCTGTTGATGCCTTTTAAAAGTCCTATACATAAAGTTTGTGCTGCCTCCATTGTCGATTCCGATTGTTTTATTCACTCAACATACTTTCTCGTGTCCTGGGGAGATTCGATTATATTTTGTTTCTTTGGAAGTCGAACGATTCGTTTCTAGATTGTTTTTCATTTTTCTTTTGTTTCGTCGCCGTGTAGCGTCGATTTAAAAAGTTGGGGACATGTGCTAAGGATAGTTAACTGGAAAATAATGACGCAACAAACTTTATAACACAAGGTTGCCTTTTTTGGGAAGCGCGATTTGGTGGATTACGTGACACAACGAAAGGACAATCTGTCTCAGTTTGAAAAGTTTTCGGCTACTGTACGTATATCGATGTATTTGGTATTTTTGCATAGTTCACTATTAATCATCAATTATTTTGCGTATTGTTAAAAAGATTTTTTATATTAACGATAAATTATAAATTGATATAAGGTTGAATGCTGGAATAAATGAACTTTGATCAAATAAAAGGCAGATATCGAGCACAATTTTATTAATTTAATCTTGCCCAAGAAAAAAAGGTATTCATTTTATGTTTATAGCATTTTATTCTTCTTGGATAGACCACAATTGACGAAATGCCCCTGAGGATGCTCTAGGGAGTGAAAGTACTTGGGCAAGATTAAATTAAGAAAACTCTGCTCGATATCTGGCTTTTATTTGATAAAAAAAAATAAATTATAAGCTGATAGATGGAGGAAGAGTAGGTGACAAAAAATAAGCAGTATTCCAGTGTATCGGAGGCCTGAAGAGTACTGGAAGGAGTGTTTTGAAAACGTTGAGAGGGTTTTAGTAGAAAATTAAGATCAAAATGTTAAAAATAGTTTAGTTGTAGGTGATTTTAATGCAAGGTTGGGAGAGGAAGGAATTCTAGGTGATGAGCTTGATGAAAATGGAGGATACAGAAGGACAAACCTGAGTGAAAGGAGAGTTTCTAAAGATAAGTCGATTAATCATCATGGGAAAAAGGTAATTGGGCTATGTGACGACTTTAATTTGGTTAGAATGGAAGAACAAAAGAAGATATAGAGGGGAAGTATACATTATTGGGGCCGTTGGGCAGTTCTGTCATGGATTTGCATGTGTATCAAGACGATAATTTTTTCATAGGTCGTGAATATTATTCTGACCATATGCCTCTAATAGTGAAGTTAAACTTCGACGATGGCAGTCAGAGATCCACTAGTAAAGTTTGGTCACTGCTTCCTAAAATTACTTGGACCCAAACTGATTCGAAAAAATATAGAGAAATAATGTCTTGTGAAATTAATAAGATGAATCAGTGGAGTGATCAACCGGAGATAACTTTAGAGTTACTACAGCAAGGTATAAAAAAGTGCGTAAGAAAGAGGAAGCAAGTAATGTCATATCTCAGAGTATCTAGAAAAATTAGCTCGACTTATGCAAGAACATATATAGGGACGTAAAACAGGAATACAAGCGCCTTCGTGAATCAAAAACGAAAGAATTTGATAAGTGTTAACTTAAACGCTCTACTGCAACATTTTGCAGTACATTTGAATACGGAGATAACGGCAAATCCTGTGTTGTATGCAGAACCGTTTATCCTCAATGAACATTTAGACCGGCCGTTTAGTATGAAAGAAATTCAAATAGCATTGGATTCTTTAAAACCAAATAAAGCACCAGGAGTGGATAGAATTGCTGCTAATTTGTACAAGTTTCTTCCAGAAAACGGAAAAGTGCATGTACTTGGGCTTGCTAATAATTTTTTCGTCAAATTAAACTTTCCTTAGGGTATTTATGATCCAAAAATGTTTCCTCTTCATAAGAAAGGAAACATGGAAAGTGCAGAAAGTCATCGAGGTATTAGCTTCTTAAATGCAGTAACCAAACTCATTCCGGCATTGACTTTAACTAGACTTACCTAGTAGGTACAAAATAATAATATTTTACAGAGTTTCAGGGAGGATATAGAACCGACCATTCAACTATAGACAACATTTTTAACCTTACGAGTATATTAACAATACAACATGGGGGGAGTAAAAAATGTTTATACATTTTTTGTGGACTTTAGTGCTGTTATTGATACAGTTGATCGTCACTTTTTTACAAGTTTAGTCACTTGGGCTGATATACTCTTTTTGGCTATATTCTTTTTGGTCAAAGTAACAGTGTATGAGTCGGATGTAAGATCAATTTTGACTTGTAGATCTCAGGTATGGAGTCTTTTTGAGTACGATCAGGTGGAAATAATCAGAGGATTTTATGTTTTCTTGTCCAATGTAATGTCCTAACTTTATGTTAGATTTAGAGACAGGTATTGTTACAGCCAACCTATATGTGATGAATTTCCATAAAAAATATATTAAACAAATATTCGAATGATAGGTCGCCAAAATTTATTTTGAAAGAAATGATAAGAGCAAGGTGTGGCTGGTGGAAAGATTGGATGAGAATGGTAGAAAAATTTGATATTGAGGTAAGGTATGAATGGAAATCGAGAGATAGCTGGCCTAGTATGATTAAGGGTATGATAGAAAAAAAGAAGGAGGAGATACACCATCAGGCTGAGAATAGGCACTCGAATCAAATTTTTGTGGTGGACACTACAAAGAACTGCGGGAAGAAGGAGTAAACATGCGTTATGTACTGGAAATGGAAAATTTTGAGGACATTCGATGGCTGTTTAAATTAAGATGTGGAGTTTTATATTTGAATGATCGACTTGGCAGAAATGATAAAAGAAGGGTTTGCTCATTGTGTAACACGAACAAAAGAGAAGATATGATATATTTTTTGGAAAAATGTTCGGTGTTGATACAGATTAGGTTAAAGTGTTTGGGTAGAAATGAACTTATTTGAGTGGAAGTAGTTACTATGATGAGGGAGAGACAGTTAATATTTTTTTTTGTGTATAGCTATTATCTTTTTATATGTCTTGTCTATCTTGACTATCTTGTTATTACTATTGTTCTTATTATTATTATATAAACAGCTTTCACTCACTTCACTTTTAAAGGACAAATTCACTCGTCTCAAATGCAAGCTATACCTTACTGTTATACATTGTTGTTAATGTTTAGTCTTCTTCTTCTTATGGTGCCCTATCCAATTAGTGGATGTTGGTGACAATTCTGGCATACTCCTCTCGATCTGGCGTGGCTCTAAAAAGTGCATAGGCATCGAGGTTTGTTCAATCCCTTATGTTTTTAAGCCATGAGTATTTCTTTCTTCCCATGCCTCGTTGTCCTTCTATCTTCCCTTCCATAATAAGCTGTAAGAACCAGTACTTGGAATTTCGAAATATATGACCCAGATAAGTAGTTTTTCTTCTTTTTATTATTGGCAGAAATTCTAGTTCTCTGTCCATTCGATTTAATACTTCGACATTTGTTGTGTGATCTGTCCAGGGAATTTTTTACAAAGCGATATCGAAGCGTAAAGTTAAGGATGCTGTTGCTTAGCAAGGTTGTCATATTAGTAAATGCTGTTCTGCCTTGCTCAATCCTGCTATGCATTTCTATGTCTGGATCTAGATCTTCAGTTATCCAACTACGGAGATATCTGAACTTGGGGATCTTTTGGATGTTCTTGTTGTTTACTCTTATATTTAATTGCATATTTCGTGTTCTACTAACCACCATTACCTTCGTCTTGTCTATATTAATCTTCAAGCCCAGTCGTTCTCCTTCAGTGTTTATTTTATCTATTAGTCGTTGACGCAGTTCTTGGCTATCAGTCCGTCCATTGATTTTGATTCCATCTTCAGTATCACTTAAGGCTCTATCGAAAATCGTTTCAGAATAAAGATTAAAAAGTAGGGGTGACAGAACACACCCCTGTCGTACACCTTTTCGATTGTAGTCTAGTGTGTCTATTATACATTTATATAAGTATTTAATTATTTTTTTATTATTTTAATGACCTTTTTCTATATAATAAACCTTAGTGTAATTTTTTGTATATTAGAGAATAATAGTTCTTTGCCAACCCTCCTGATGGCATGTGCCAAGGAGAACAAATATCGCTAAAATTGTATTTTCTTAATGAGAAATAAAATGACATTATTGATTGATTGATTTGATTGATTGATTGATTGATATACGAAGAGCTATCGCCATAAGTTGCAACTCCTTACCTAACTCTACACCTCAATTCTCTGTGTTATCAGGTTATGATTTTTATCATTCTACAAAACAGCTTCAATTATTTCATGAGCTATAAATAAAGTTAAATTCAAAATAAGCAATAACGGGTAAAATATACTATTTTACCTATTTTCATCCAGTATTGAAAATAATAGAAAAAAGGTCGGCTAAGAATCTAGAAACTCATATTACTTATGTAGACCTTCAAAAGCATATGAACATCCCCTTAACAAAACTGTGGACAACGTTGAAAAGATCTAACATCAACCAGACATTGATAAATGTTGTACAAGAACTATATATAGAGACTTAAAGTCACAGATGAAAACAGGAAAATATCTAACGGAAGAATTCCTGGTTACAAAAGGCTTGCGACAGGGATGCTGTATCTCACCAACCTTATTCAAGATATATGTTGCAGCAGCATTGAAAAGATGGAAAAGAAAGGTGCATAGGATGGGTATAGAGCTTAGCAATAAATGTAGATATACACTCCAGTTTGCTGATAACCAGGTAGTACTAGCGACTGACAGAGAAGACATGCAGTACATGTTTAGAAAACTGATAGAAGAATATAACGACTGGTGAATGAATGTCAATACAACAAAAACCAAATATCTTTGTATTGGAAACGAGTCATATAACATAGACCTCGAAAACGGACAACATATTTCCTGCTGTCAGAGCTATGACTACTTGGGTGTTGCCTTTGACAATACAGGAACTGATACACGGGAAATAGAAAAACGAATCACTCAAGCAAAGTAAGTCTTAGCATGTCTCAATGGTATACTGTGGAGTAAAGAGATAAAGAAAGGAAGAAAATTTAATATATATGAGATCATGATTAAAAACTACTCTTCTTTATGGCGCTAAAACATGGAGAATTAGTGAAAGAACAAAAAGCGAATAGAAAGAGTAGAGATGGATGCAATGAGAAGATCTTTAGGTATTTCCAGACGAGACCGAATAAAAAATTATGTAATAAAACAATGTATGGAAATAGAAAAAAAATATAACTCAAGATATAGAGAAGAAACAATTAAGGTTGTATGGGCATGTTCAACGGATGCCAGCAACAAGACTCCAAAAAAAGTATTAGAATGGCAACCGATAGGTCGACGGAAAAGAGGAAGACCCAGATTAGAATGGCAACACGGCGTAAACAGGTCTATGAGCGAAAGAAATTTAAGAAAAAACGACTGCGAAGATAGGAAGAAATGGGGTTTAGGTATCGGACAACGTCGAAAGACGTTCTAAACCGATGTATATATATTGAAATCGGGTTAAAAACAATTACCCAAAAGTAGAAAACTATTCAAATTAAAGACAAGGACGAGAAAAAAGTCAATCAATAAGAAGCGTAGATTTTACTAAGTGGCTTACGCTAAGGCTTATTTATTCCTAGGATCCCAGTTTTTGCAGGACTTTTCATCCTTTAAAGATAAAAATGAAGTATATCCATGCCTTTCTGTGTTTCTACGACTTTGTCAGATAAAAATGCGGTTTTATCAGATTATTGTAATCGTGACGCAAAGGGGAAAAACCTTCCACTACGGCATTCGCTGATAATTTATAATTTACAAAATACAAGAATTTTTCTATCAACTTCAAAGAAACGAGCCGACGATATTGTGCACCAAACACGGGAGAACTTCCTGAGCGGTGTCTTAAAATTGTAAAGGGAATCTAATATTATTATCTCGCATCTTATCCACTTTTCCACGGAATTCTTTGTCTTTCAACTTAAGAGAAAACATAATGAGATTTGGAAATAATTGGATTAATGTCAGCCTATTGTTCTGGTTATTTTCAAATATACAATTGCCTTCAGCCGAAAATCCAGGCCCTTTT